CAAAAAAAAAAAAAAAAAAAAAAAAAAAAAAAAAAAAAAAAAAAAAAAAAAAAAAAAAAAAAAAAGAAAAAGAAAAGGTGGTACATATACACCATGAGATACTATGCAGCCATAAAACATGAACAAGATTATGTCCTTTGCAGGGACATGGATGGAGCTGGAGGCCATTATCCTTAGCAAACTAATGCAGGAACAGAAAACCATATACCACATGTTCTCGCCTATAAGTGGGAGCTAAATGATGAGAACACATGGATACATAGAGGGGAACAACACACACTGGGGCCTATCAGAGGGTGGAGGGTGGGATGAGGGAGAAGATTAGGAAAAATAACTAATGGGTACTAGGCTTAATGTCTGGGTGACAAAATAATCTGTAAAACAAACCCCTATGACACAAGTTTATCAATGTAACAAACCTGTACATGTACCCCAAACTTAAAAGTTAAAAAGACAATGAAGACTCCTCCCCAAAATAACAAGAAGACAAAAGCAAGAAAGAAAATAATGTATTTTCTACTGTTCTTTGGTGGAGTGTTCTATCAATGGCGATTAGATTGTGTTGGCCAATGGGGTTGTTCTTTTCTATATGCTTGCAGATTTTTTTCTAGTTGTTATTCTATCAATTGTTGAGGATTTTTCTATTTCTCATTTGAATTCTGTCAGTTTTTGTTTCACATATTTTGGAGCTCCGTTGTTTTATGCACTAGGATTACTTTGTCTTCTTGGCTAATTAGCTCTTTTATTATCCAATATCCCTCTCTGAACCTGGTCATTTTCTTTGCTCTGAACTTCACTATTTTAATTAACATAACAATTGCTCTGAACTTCACTATCTTAAATTAACATAACAAATCCTACTTTCTTTTGATTAATGTTTTCATGGTATATCTTTTTCATCCTTTTACTTTTAGCTTACCTGTATGATTAGATTTGAAGTGAGTTTTCTTATAGACAGTGTATAGTTAGGTTACTTTTTAAAAATTCATTTTGCCAACTTCTTACTTGGTATATTTAGACTTTTTACATTTAATGTAATTATTGATATGATATTGCTTGAGTCTGCCAGTTTATTTTTTATTTTGTTTGTTCTCTTTTTCATTTCTGTTTTTTCTCCTGTTTTTTTCCTCCTGTAGGTTACTTGAATATTCTTTAGAATTTCATTTGATTTATTTTATTTTATTTTTGTAATTTGTGTTTATTTGATTTATTGTGTTGTGGAGTGTACCACTTTGAATAACTTTACTATATTGCATATATATAACTTACTACATCTACTAGTGTCAACATTTTATCAGTCCAAGTGAAATGTGAAAACCTTACTTACTTACTTTGTGTCTCATTGCCCTCCCCCCATTTATAATTGTCTTAAATATTTCCTCTACATACATTGAAAACTATACCAGTGTATTCGTCTGCTCTCATGCTGCTGATAAAGACATACCCAAGACTGGGTAATTAAAGGAAAGAGGTTTAATTGATTCACAGTTCCACATGGCAGGGGAGGCCTCACAATCAGGCAGAGGGTGCGTGAGGAGCAAAGTCACGTCTTACATGGTAGCAGGCAAGAGAGGGCTTAGGCAGGAGAGCTCCCCTTTATAAAATCATCAGATCAGCCGGGCATGGTGGCTCACGCCTGTAATCCCAGCACTTTATGAGGCTGAGATGGGCGAATCATGAGGTCAGGAGTTCGAGACTAGCCTGGTCAACATGGTGAAACTCTATCTCTCCTAAAAATACAAAAATTAGCTGAGTGTAGTGGCAGGTGCCTGTAATCCCAGCTACTCAGGAGGCTGAGGCAGGAGAATCACTTGAATCTGGGAGGCGGAGGTTGCAGTAAGCTGAGATCATGCCACTGTACTCCAGCTTGGAGGACAGAGTGAGACTCTGTCTCAAATAAAACAAACAAACAAGCAGACAAACACACCCATCAGATCTCATGAGACTTATTGATTATCATGAGAATAGCATGAGAATGACCTGCTCCCATGATTCAATTACCTCCCACTGGGTCCCTCCCATGACACATGGGAATTGTGGGAGCTATAATTAAAGATGAGATTTGGGTGGGGTTTATAATATCAACCAGTCAGTGTTATAATTTTTGCTCCAACTGTCAAACATTATTTAGAAAACTCAAGAAGAGAAGGAAGGTCTACTGTATTTACCCATGTTTTTATTCTATTATTCATTCTTCCTCTCTAACGCTCCAAGATTTCCTTTTTTTTTTTAATCATTTTTTTTTTCTGTCTAGAGAATTTCCATTAGCCATTATTTCAGCGTAGGTCTGCTGGTGACAGATTTCTTATTTTTCCTTCATCTGAGAATATCTTTGCTTCTCCCTTTATTCTCAAAGGATATCTTCACTTGATAAAAAATTCTGGATTGGCAGTTATTTTTTCTTTCTTCAGGACTTGAGAAATCTTGTGACATGTCTTTCTGGACTCTTCTGGTTTCTGGTGAGAAGTCTGCTATTATTTGAATTGTTTTCCCCCTGTATGTTAGGTGTCATTTCTCTCTCACTGCTTTCAAGATTTGTACTTTGTCTTTAATTTTCAGAAGTTTGACTCTAATGTATCTTTCTGTGAAATTCCTTGGGTTTATCCTGCTTGGGGTTAGCTTAGCTTCTTGGATATGTTGATGTCGTTTTCCAAATTTGGAAGATTTTTAGCCATTATTTCTTGAAACACTTTTTTAGCCTGACCCTCTTTCTCCTTTCCTCTTGAGACTCTGATGATACAGATGTTAGATCATTTGTTATAGTTCCACAGGTCTCTGAGGTTCTATTCATTTTTCTTTCAGTTGATCTTTTCTCTCTTGTTCAGATTGGGTAATTTCTATCATTCTGTCTTTAAATTCACTGATTATCTGTCATATAACCTCTGTATTTTGCTGTCAGGCTCATCTTTGGAGTTTTTTTTTTTTATTTTGGTTATTGTATTTTTCAGTTCTAAAATTTATACTTGGTTTTTCTTTGTATTTTTTTCTTCTCTGCTGAGACTTCCTGATTTTTATTCATTTCAAGCATGTTCATAAATGCTTCATGAAGCATTTTTATGATGGTTTCTTTAAAATGCTTGTCAGATAATTGTAACATCTGTGTCATCTCAGCGATCATATCTATTAATTGTCTTTTCTTGTTCAAGTTGAGACCTTCCTGGCTCTTGGCATGAAGAATAATTTTTGGTTGAAAGATAAACATCTTTGTTATTATGTTATTGAGATGCTGGGTCTTACCTGAATGTTCTGTTTTAGATAGCATCTCTTGACATCACTGTGGCAGAGAGAATGAAGGGTGGCGCCTTGTTACTTCCAGGTGACACTACAAATCCAGGCTCTCTATTGGCTTCCATTGATACCTGGGGTGGAGGAGGGGCTTCCAATGACTGCTAGGTTGACGTGGGAATTCAGGCTCCTTCCTTATTAGGCTTCTGCCCATACAGCTGTGGCTGGAAGAAACAGGAATACTTTACTGCTCCCCACGTAGTCTCCACTGACACCATGGACGGGAGGCCTCATAATCATCACCACTGGGTGAAGGTGAAAATCTTGACTCTTCATCAGGCCTCCTCTGACACCACTCCAGTTGCACGAGGGGTGCCTCATTATTGCCAAATGGGAATGAAAGTCCAGGTTCCCCACATAGTCTCCACTGACAACAGGAGATGGGTGAGCAGAAATGAAAGTCCTGGCTCCTTATGTGATCTTCTCTGAAAACATCCTGGTGGGAGAGGGAGGTTTTGTGTTGCCTTGTTACAGGCTGGCAAGTGTGGAAGTACAGGCTTCCCATTCAGCCATTGCTGATGAAGATGGGGGTGGGGGCTGTAGTATTCTCTATTGTGTTTAGTTGGAGTAGAGCAGTTATTGTATAAAAGTTTTCTGTCTTTCTAGGCTGTCCCTTTCCTGGTTCTCTGGCTAGAGAGGTAGGCTTTTCTTCTATGCACCCACTGGACTTTCCAGTTTGCTGATTTCTCCAGCATCCAGGCTGGGATATTTGCAGCCGAGACAAAAATCAAACAAAGAAGGAATTTACCACCGTGTTGTTCTTTGGGCCCCAAGGCCCTTGGTTCATCTACCTTCTCCTTTCTCCCTTTCTGGGTCTTCTTATTTGTTTTATATATAATATCCAGGGGGTTTTAGCTGTACTTAGTTGTTGAAATAGGGAAAGATACATCTATTTCATCTTTCTGAAAGCAGAGGTCCTTTCTGAAGGGTGGTTTTAAAATGCTGTTTAATGGCACTTTGGGGTTCTGGTGTCTTACCTCAGGGGCTGCCATGGTGAGGAGAGGGTTTTGCAGAGGAGGATGTCAAGTGGCAATACTCTGGGAGCCCTTACCTGTGATTTAATAGAGCAGCTTTGTTGATTTTATATACTGGGGTTCTATCTAAGATCTCATGGACAAACAGGTTCTGCTCCTCAGAAGAAGTTGGAAACCACTGCCATAAACTATTGAAATGTCCTCAAATTCTAGCATTTTAGTTTCCAAACTCTCTCTCTCTCACTGTCTTTTACGCCTGAAAGAAGTGCAAAAATCTTTTGTCAAAACCATGTGTCTATGTTTTTAATTTGGGCAACATGGTAGCCATAACCATATGCCATGAAAGCAAAGTATCTAG